TGTGTCCGTGTGTGTCCGTGTGTGTCCGTGTGTGTCCGTGTGTGTGTGTGTGTGTGTGTGGGTGGGTGTGGGTGTGTGTGTGTGTGTTTGTGTGTGTGTGTGTGTTTGTGTGTGTGTGTGTGTTTGTGGGTGGGTGGGTGGGTGGGTGGGTGGGTGGGTGGGTAGGTGGATGTGGGTGGGTGGGTGGATGTGGGTGGATGTGGGTGGATGTGGGTGGATGTGGGTGGGTGGGGGGTCGGGGCAGGCACTCCACCTAAATCACTTGCAGATCTGCGAGGCCCCTTCCGGAAAATCATCTTTCAAGCACGACTCTATGTCGTGTGAAGTAGCGTGCTTACGCATTCCCTGTACAACGCTGAAGGAGCCCACGAGGCACTTGCCAGGACCATAAAATGAACCCTACCGCACATGTGGGCAGTCTTCGTCCGAGGTGCACATCCACACCCTTCTTTACCAGCTCGCCCATCTGCATGACCGTCTCCGAGCCTGAAGGATCGGCAGCTTTTAGGGTTGTGGGTATCCTGCGGTGGTGCCCTAACTACTCTGTGCCCGCAACGTTCCACAAGCTTGGTCTGAGGTTCAGGGTTCAAGCTGGATCCCTTAGAAGAGCGAGGGCTCTTCGATCTGCCTTCACCCCGAAGCTTCGAATCCTGCAGATCTACAAGGAAAGCTGCAAAGATGAGCCCCTGCAAGACCACCCCGAATCCAACACTTTACACCACACTAAACGAAGAACATCTGAACCCGATAGCAGCAAGGCACCGACATCCTGTACAAGAAGCTCCGAGCAGAAGTAGGCAACCTGGAGTGCAGGACTGCTGGGGTTTCCTGACCTTGCGAGGGAGCTTCAGGAAAGAAGGGATTCTATTGCAGAGCCCTACACTGTAAGGACCCCTAAGGGCGAAGAGCTGTGCTCTTTGGTGGCATGCTTCTTCCCGTAGTGCTGCTGGTCGACTGTACATATGTTTCCCGTACGGACATGGACCACACCTGCTCAGAGGTGCAGATGTATACAGTTTCCTCGACTCTGAAGCCCCTCGCTTCGGCCGGTCCGTAGCAAATCTGCGTTTGCAGTGGGGTTGTATGATCTGGTGACAGTGTCATCTAGGTTTCTGGAAGGTGCCTGTTGCCTGCTACTCAACTTTTCCCAAGGAGCCCTCGAAAGGGAACAACGCCAGTGCTGACGAACATGGCATGAGCAAGATGTTGTTGATGTTTAGGCCTGCTTTGGCTGGCAAAGCTGGTAGCTCAGGACTTGCCCATTGCCTTGAATGCTGGCTGGAAGATCTCAGCCTGAACTTGTGTCGGGTACATTGATCCGGCGCATAGGCATGTATATTGGGCTTCCTCCGCAGCCTCATTTTCTGAGCGTAGACCCATGCCCACAACAATGACTCCGCCTTGTTCGATCTACTATGCACCGTTGACTCGACGCCACGGTTTTACGCTCCTGACACAGCTCTTAACATGAACAAATGCGAACACCATCGCGGTTTGAGGCCCGTGTGCACTTGTTTCCTTGCAGCTTCGTCCAGGGATGTTACAGCACATTTATGATCTCTCCAGACTCGTAGGTAACCAGCTGAGCACTCTAGCCTCGATATTCCCGCAATCGGCTCGAGTGTCCCCATAATGTCGGTACAAGTTTGCCTGAAAGCTTGCATTATTCGTGGGATCCCGAAAGCCTTCAGAAGGTGCAAAATCGGTTGCCAAAAACCAACCGTGGCCGAGCTGCGGTAAAGAGCCCAAAGCACCCACAAAGCCTGCGCTTGAAGAAGTCGTGACTTGTAGGGCTTGGGGTTAAGATGGCCTAACCATACCTGACCTTGCATGTCTCTTGCAAACACATGCGCTGAGGCAGTCAGGTTTGAGTTGTTGGGGCCGTGGATTGAATATTTACATGCGCATAGCTTACATATTCCTTGAGCCCTGAACACTGAAAGGGCTAAGACATCACATCAAGAGGCAGGGAGTAGAACAGCATGAGCTGCGGCATAGCGTAGCGGAACCTCCTGGAAACTGCTGCGGACTGGGGTGCACAAACGAATTTTGGGTGTTTCTGCTCGGGCTTTAAGGTGTGTGGGTGTGGGTGTTATGCCTTCAATGGGAGTCGAACATCGTGTGGACTTGTGAAGCTTAGGTGTATCTCTGAATCCTGGCCTGGTGTGCTGCTGTTTTGGGGGGCTTGTGAATCTCATGCACATTCTGCTGCATCTGGGCTGCAACTGCGGAGATGAAGCCTACAGAATAAAATCTGGTCCAATGACTGACGAGTATCTCACCGATCTTCCGCTCTGGCGCATCGTTGGGCTGCTTCACATAACCTCGGGCAAGGGCACGTGAGATGTGTGCAGCCTATAGGGGCAGGCGTATAGCTCCCGCATCACACCCAGTAGTAGGTCCACAGAAACCACACAAAGCACGTTTCCTCTGACTTTGGTTGGGGATTTACTGGCCCTCAACCAGAGTCACAATCTACGATAGGTGCAAGGCTACTTCCCCACGGCCTGAGCCGGCCACTCCACCCCTTGCTGGCTGTAGCAGAGTCTGTATAGAGTGACTATAAGATGTCTGACCACATCATCTGACACACACACACACATGGCCCATGCTGGAGGATGGCTGGTTGTACACTCCTTATAAACGGGCAAAGACCGATTAAGCGCCGACTAGAGGCGTCGCGGCAGACCCAGCTCAACCCGGCACTCTAATCGGAGAACTCTGAGAAAATCAACGAACCAACAAATAATTTTACCCTCAACCTTCCATGCTTGAAGCTGCCTGAAACCTAAAACCTTCAGGCCTAAGCTTTGAACGTCAAAAACCTAAGCCCTAGACTCGACAGCAAGCCAAACAGCGTGCGGTCGCTGAAGCTCCAGTGGGCTCTTTTCGACTGAGAGAGCCCTGATCTCCTTGCTCAAAACTTCAGACCGCCAACATCCGGGTAGTTTTCTGTAATAGGGTCCCTTTGGGGGGCCATTTTATAAGGGTGCCGTACTATATTGGGGACCCAAAAACGGGACCCTAGTCCAGAAAACTATATTCACCTAAATCTTACACCCCCCAAGCCAGAGAGAGAGAGCGCCCTCTCGAGGCTTGCGGTGAAGGAGCCCCAAGGAGGCATCTCCCACGGGGGGTTCGGAGCGTTGATGTAGGAGACTTCCTCCTGAGAGTGCTGCTATGTCGGCTTCCCTCGGACTTGCAACGAAGCCGTGAGGATTGCTACGGAAATATATCTATCTATCTATCTATATACACATACATACGTACGTACATACATACATACATACATACATACATACATACACACACATATATACATACCTAAAAAGGCGAAGGGAATCTGAGGCTTGAGGTGCAGGGTTTGGATCGAACGCTGCAGCGAGGGAGGGCAACAATGGCATGCGCAGTACTGGTTGACCCGAACCAATGGAAGTCCTACTTCCTAAAGCCTGTAGGGCCTAAGGCCGACACCCCAAGTGCTGGTGCTTGTGATTCTCAGTTTTCCTGCATGCGCTGGACCTTTGGCAAGAAGAATCAAGTTCTCATGTGTGGCTGTCGTTTCGGGAGAGCGAGAGAGAGAGAGAGAGAGGTACAGCGCGAAAGGGATATGTAAATTTTCATATTCAAAACTTCGGAGAGACAGAGGGACAAGAGAGAGAGAGAGAGAGGCAGAGTATACGATTTACATCACTTACCAGTACTCTTATGCGAAGGAACCAACAGCGTTTATCTTTCATCATTCGCACATACAAAGATTGACTTCTCACAAAATGTTTCGAAACCCATCTAAAGACCCTCACCAACAACGGTGGACACGAGACTGGGCAGACATGCCATGAGGAAAGCGGCAATGAGCCGGACAAAGTCGAACATGCTTTGCTGCCGCGATTCGGAGATCATGCGAAAAGTGTCATTCCGCAGGGACAGCAGCATCAGAACCAGTGACACGAATGCACCAACTATGAAGAAACACCTGGGCAGCGACTTGGTGCAGTTGGTTTCTGGTTCAGGGTTTTGTTCATCGCCTGCATCATGCTCAACAAATATGTAGATTCATGTAGGTCAGGCTAACCCATGGGGTGGTCCCGGGCCTTGCAATTGTGTGGCTTGGGGCGGCCTTCTCTAGCCAATATGGCTCTTCTGCACCAACCCTGCCCACCTTAAAGGCTTCCGATCCTAATTCGGAGGCCTGGATTCGACAAAGCTGCTGCGATGCACACCCAGGTTGCAACCCAGATCTTACTGATCAAAGTGAGCTCCAAGAGTACTTGTTTGTCACATGTTGGGCACCACGCCCTAGCATCAGTTTCTGCACATCGACCCTTCGCCTGACCCTGAGGCTAACAGAACCTGTTTTAATCCCCAGGGGCGCCATGATCAAGTGTAGGGGTATGGGGTCATAGGGCTGTAGAGACCCCCCAAGACCTAGCTCGAGCCAGCAAGAACCTCCATGGCCCCTCTAACCAGGCCGGCCCTGAGCTCGAGATACTGAGCCCTGCAGACCTCAGACAAAGTTCAAAGTTAGGTTTAGGTTCTAGACCGTCAAAGCTGAATGTGAAAGCAGACGCCGAAAACTTGGGCGCATTGGCATCCCCTAACCCTGAAGGCTAGAACAGTGGAACACTCAGCATAATCCCTCTCTTTTCTCGGTTCCAGCTTCAACTCTGATCTCGATGCAGCCCCCTATGCCGTAGTCTACACCTTGAACCGCCTTAAGCTTTAAACCCACCACCGCAAGCATTCAACCGATCAACCCCTAAGAAACCCTCGCGGAACCCAGGCAGAAGATACCGAAACCCCGCAGACCCTGATAAAGCCCTGCACGAACCTTTCAACACAAACCCGCCAAACAAAACCCAAACCCCCACTGGGTCTCCTCGCATCAGTGCGGCGAAGAGCCAGCTAAAGCGACCTCGATGGATGGTCGCGGCTTCCTGGACAAAACATGGAAGCCCGGAGTTAGGGCTTGTCATACGGTTTATGATATAAATCCTGCATTACCCATAAAAAGGTATATACCATAATTCCTATAGTTTAGGGCCCTTAAGGTGATGCAGGATTTATATCATCCACAGCACCTTTGGGAACTTGACGGTGTTTGGGGGGATTTCGGGGTGTCGGTTCCCAGGGCTCCCGGGTTCTACAAAGTTCTATACGGGTTCTATAATACCATGGGCTCTATGCTGTCCATAAGCTTCGTTTCAGGGCTTTTGTCCCCGGCCTTGAAGTAGGACTTCGGGGCTTCGGCTTTCGGAGATATTGGGTCGTGTTCTGCCTCTATTTAGTGGTCTGTGGGCCTGCAGGCAGCCCACTTCATAAATCTACATCATAACCTATTAGAAGTTTATCCGTTGTACACATACTTGCGAGGTCGACTGTTTCGGTGGTCTCTTCCATCACTACTCTGATTTGTGTTGGTATCGTGCATGTATATAGCTGAACCCAGCTAAGTCTGAGAAAGCCTGGACCGTCGGAGTACCAGGTTTGGGTTTCGGTGCAACACCTCCATGAGGTCACGGTCGTCATCATGTCAATGCAGCCGGTCATGTGTTATGCGATAACACTGAAAGTTATGCTTCTGGCATCGCAACAGCGGTAACGCTTCCATAAAAAGCTCCAGAACGATGCAATTTGGAAGCGGATGGACTTTGGTATCAGCACTCCCCCCGTTTCTCTGAAGATAGTACATGCTTAGGAACATGTCAGCGCATATGTGTAATGCTGCTGCCAATTGCCGCGTCCTGTTTCCTTTCGTGAACATAGCCGAGCCACATGGTTTGCCAGCTTCTGTTTCTGTGGCGTCACGGCAAGGATGTGGGCATTACCAACATTTGCGCGAGTGAGCGACAAGGGACTGGTGCCAGTGAAGCTGCACAGTATGCACGTCAAACAATCAGACTGCTGCATCGAAGTCCTCCTGTGGCAACCCCCATATCCGTGACACTGGTGCAGGAAGCTATACGGCGATGCGTCTACATAAAGACTAGTCTAAGTAAAGACTCTTTGCGCGAACATGTCGGCCGCAAAACAAGAGCTCAAAGCACGGAATTTTGGAGAACGTTGCTCGGGATGCTTTGAAGTCCTTATTGATAATTCGCAGATTTCCCATATAATCCCGAATACCTGCCTTGGCCGCCAGGCCCATGTGGTAAAGCTTACCTCGGCAAAGTGCTTGAGTCTGTTTGAGGTGTATATAATGTAGATCCCTGGTCAATAAGATCCCTGCCGAAGCAAGGGTGTAGAGTAGGAGTCCTGCTGCGGATGCCCTCGATAAGCCAATGCAATTATTCACCCGTCGACATGCCGTAGGTGCTCTGCCCGGAACTGCCCCCCAAAACTACCATGTTGGCTGTTTTCAAGGTATGGCGAATCAAAGAAATTAACTAGTTCAACTCAGGTTACTGGTTCGTGAGTTCATTGTCCCCAAGAGTTGCTCGTGGCTTAGATAGGCTTGAAATGGCTTAATGCACGAATTTCAGGCACTTCTCGGGCGAGGGACGGCCGCGAATCAGCACAGCCACAAGCTTAGAAATCCTTAAGGCCTTGAGCCCGCCTGTTCCGTGGACATGTTTGTCTCGACCCGAAAGGACAGATTACTAACAGCTGCTAACAAAAGTCCCGAACCCGCCCATCAAGTGCCAGAGCATTTGGCCTCAACAAACAATGAGCAACTATGTATGACTGCATGTGTTTCTTTTCTAATTCACAGTGTTTCTTTTCTAATCCACAGGTCCAACACCTAACCGACCTAACCTTGACGGAACCAATAGAGCCCTGATCATGCCAGGTTGGTTGCTGCTCTCGTCTGCATCTTCCTGCTCCTGCAGCACAAACTCTTGAGAAAAACGCTCCAAACCACACTTACCACCCTTTGCCAGATTTTCGGGTATATTGGGCTAGACGGGACTTTGCCCGCCTGCTATCACGCCTGTACCTAGAGGCCTGCAGGAATCGGGCCGGGCCACGCGAGCCAATAAGTGGTCTTTTGAGGTTGTGGCGAAGTGGATGGGCCAGCCAAATTCAGCGTTTGCGGGTTGGAGCATGGGCCTATCACCCGCGCCTCATGGGACCGAAGAAACAGGAAAAGGCTAGACATGGGGTTGCTAGGGAGCTCATATGAGATTCTTGCTTATTCTTCATTTTCAAACCCCTTCAAGGATCGCGGCACATGACCGACACAAATGCTATCAGCAACGGCCCCAGACAGCCGGGGGCATCACGAAAAATTGGATCAGTTGTTGATTGGTTGATACCGTGAACATGTCATGGAAATCAGTAAGGAAGAAACTTATTAGGTCTTCGGGCCCCTAGATTGCACACAAGAAAGGGGCCCGCGAGGTGAACACTCCCCAGTAGCTTCCTTGGCCCTACATAGGGTCTAAACCCCACACCCTGACCTCCTCCTCTTCCTTCACCGGCTTCTCACTGAGCCTGGCCAGGGCCAAGGGTTTCGACTCTCGCTCTCGCACAAGGCAGGCAAGGCTCCATCGAGGATTTAGGGTTTCGGCTCCTGTGGGACAGCGGAACGTCGCCACATACAACCCAATGCGAAGACAATCATGGCGTTTGTGTTTGGACTGGCCCAAGCAACGACAGTCTGAACACAACAAACCGAGAACCGTGAACTGTCAGCCCTACAGGCCTGATGAACCAAAGAGCAGGTCCGGCCTCTTGCCAATGATGTCTGCCACGGTGTTCCGGGAACTTGCCCGGTTCATGGGGAGGCGTCGGCAAGCCGCTGCTCCTGCGGTTTGGGCTATCCACAGCCCAAAACATTCCCAAACCGAAAGCTGCCTGCACAAAGTGCACAGCACGAACGTGCAGCGCTTAGTGGCGAGACAAGGTTTGGACCACCAACAGCAATGACTGGAAATAGTAAACAACCCACCCACTACCAAGCTGTCATAAGCATTTGTTGGTGTGGTAGGGGGCAGTAAGTTTGAAAAACATCGAAGTCCATAATGCTGATTATGAAGGTTTGAGGCTTACAGTGGTGCTAGCGCTCCGAGAATTGTTGGCTCCCGCATGGCAGCCCCCGAAGGTACCACATGGCAGGTTTGTTTCTGTCATGTCACGAGCTCGGAGAAAGAGAACTTCTTGAATGCAACATGTGAGGCTGAAATTTCAACAATTATTCCTCGAATACAAACCCTGAGTCTACACGTCCTAGGCCCCTAGACAATATCGACATGATGATGACTAAGCCTTAAGCCTGACAGGGATACTTTGGTCCACACTCATATTAATTCCACAGCTATCGGTTGCATTATGGCTGCTACCATCATTACGATTAGTACAACCATGGTTATAACATGTTACGGCGATAACCTGTTAAGACCTCTTTCGCTGACTGACTATCAAAGGCCCATCCGACAAAACAACGAGCCATTTTGGAATCTCATGATCAGGCTCTATCAGGGCAAGCTGCTAATTACCACTGTTCTCCTGTTGCCGTTGCTGGAAGGTCGAAGAATGAGCTAGGCCAAGTGTAGCAAAAGAACCTACTAGCGAAGCTGAAAACCTCGCAGGCTAAAGGATGCACATGAGTACACAGCCCCTCAACGCTAGATCCGTAAGCCCTCTACGGCTCGCCAAGGCCCTTCAGACCCGCTCCTCAAGCCTTGCCGCGTAGCGCACCATCGCCTTGAACAAGTTTGAGAATTTTCGGTAGAGTTAAGCGCGGGCTTTGACAAGCAAAGCTTAGGGCCTAGGGCTGAGGGCAAAGGATCTATGGTGTAAGGGTGCTGAGACTCGCTGCGCAGCACAGTCGGAGGTGCCAGGGGCTTAGGAAGCAAGGGGCTGAACATGTTCGTCCCTCGAGTCCGGGCGTTTAGCAGAGCAGCTTCTGGAGTTCGGGGTGTGTGAACTCTGTCGTCGAGGACTTCAGGAGTAGTTGCTGTAATTCGAGGAAAACAAGAGAGGGCTGTTCTTGGGATGTGAGGCCGGCTGTCAGCATTCATAATTTTCATTAATAAAAGTAACAATAGCCGACGTCGTCGTATACAGCAGTAGTCCTTGTCGTGGTTCTATCACTGCCGCTGTTGTCACATGGCCTCACGGCGAATAAGTAGCCGAAACAACGCATGAGGCCAATGAGGCATTGAGCTCGCTGCATCGAGACATGCACATACAGCGAGCATGCACACACAGAGACAGAGTGTGCATGCAAGGATGTGTGTGTGTGTGTGTTTGCGTGAATATGATACAACATAACTTCCTATACGATACTATAATATGCTATAACATAATATAGTATAGCATGTTACAACATAGTTTAATCTATTGCAGGATGATATACCATACCAATGCATGTAATATATATATATATGTGTGTGTGTATATATATATATATTACATCATTATATACTATAACATGAACAATATGACATAATATGATACAGTATGATATAGTATTATATAACATAGTATAATAGACTAGAATAGACTAGACTAGAATAGGATACGCTACAATGATTATAACATAAACTCATGCTGTATGTATGTATGTATGTATGTATGTATGCACGCATGTATGTATGTGTGTCTATGTATGCATGCATGTATGCATGCATGTCTATGTATGTCTATGTATCTATCTATCTATGTATGTATGTATGTATGTATGTAAGTAACTATGTATGTAACTATGTCTGTAGGCCAATGTGTCTATCTATGTATGTCGGTATGTCTGTATGCCTGTATGTCTGTATGTCTGTATGTATGTATGTATGTATTTATGTATGTATGTATGTATGTATGTATGTATGTATACGTGTACGTTTTGCGTACGCAGAATGTATATATGTATCTATGTATCTATGTATGTTTGTGCGTACACCGAATGTATGCCTGTATGTATGTATGTACGTATTTTCTTTTGCGTACACAGGTAATACATGTTACCTTGAGCGGTGCAGGTTCTGTCACGGCCGTAAGAGCGCAGGTCTTTGGATGTATGCATACATTACATGTAATCTTTTGGGCATGACAACTCAACACCGAAACAGGAGCATCCCTGTACATTCAGGAAGATGAAATGCGAGGGAACACTAATTAACACACATTTGGAACCGCAGACCATCACGAGACACCAATTGCAATCGTAGACGCGGGAAGAACATTGTTTTCTGTCGAAGGCCATATTAACAATCCAGCCCCACAAGCCTCGAAATCAATCCTGCAACATGAAAAAGACTCTTGGCCTCGCCCGTGCGCGCCCGCGGGCCCAAGGCCCCCGGTTGGGGGACTTTGAGCCACCACGGCTTCACAGGGTCTTGTGGTTTGCAGGGTTTTGCTTCACGTTCTTGTGCTCAAAATGCATGGGTTGACCATGTGGTTCCAAAGTGACGAGGTTTCACTGTCATGAGCCGAGAATTTGGGTTTGGGGTGCAGGGATTCCGGATCTCGAGTTTCAGGTCTTCAACATGGGGGTGATTCAAGCTGCGAGTGGGACGATGTTGGAGGTCCAGCTCGGCGGCAGTGAAGCCGAGACTTTCGCAGGCTTCGTTACAAGGGCCACGCTGCTGAACCATGCGGCTAGAGGGCACTTCAGGTGCAGAACGCAAGGCGAAGGGCTTTGAATTGAGGGTTCATAGTGTCGGGGCTCTGGACTTTCAGGTTTGGGCCTTCCGGTCCGTAGCTTGGGGCAGTTCGAAAAGGCTCTATCAGAGGTGCCTCGGGATGTCTCGACAAACGGATGTCTAAACGGCACTCTTCGATGTGCTGGCTGGATAGAGCTCGAAACCATGCGCCATGCACCTACGATTATACAATCGGCGCCTTTTTAAGGCCGGTGTGAAGGCCTTCTGAACTCAGAACGTGGTACGAGTGCGAGACAAGCTTATGTTGCATTCAAGCCTACGTCGCAGAAAGCAGGATGTAGCTGATCCGGCTGATCCCTTGGCCTTCTCACTGCACTCTGCTGTCTTGGGCTCCGAATCCTCGGCCTCCACGGCTTTCTGATCCACCCCCTTCCCGGACATTGCATCGTTTACAAACAACCGAATGTATCAAAGAGGTCGCAAGGGTCCGATTGACGAGACGCATAGATGTCAAGGAAACAGCATGCCACGCATAAGTAGGCATCGTGGACGGACACCCAGCATGCGATAAGACGTCAAGCTGGGCCAAGACTGCGTGCACAAACATGGTGTTTTTTGCGAACGATGGCCATGAGCAAAACGAATACGGTAAAACTCATGCTGACGGCTATGACCGCTGGCTTTGGCGGTGGTGGTGGTGGTGGTGGTGGTGGCAGTGGCGGAACAGAGGGTCATGAGGTCATGTTACGGACGAGAAAAGGACGAGCTCGGCGTCTTGACGATAATCGGGCTCCTGTCGATAAGTGACAGCGATGCTAATTTTGAGTTGTTATAGGTTGTTATGATTTACGCTGACGAAGAGAATTTATAGACCCCTAGTCGTAGTACCGATGTCGCCATGGCGCTTGCATGGCAATAAAGCCAAGCTGGCATGTGGTTTCTTCTCGCCGTCGTGTCTTCGAATAGCCACTATCTCCGATGCTGAGGTACGACTGGCTAACCACCTGGTTTTCGAATCACAACTGATCGTATACAATCGTGCCTTAAAGGACGCCAACTGTAGTTTCTGTAATGTCAACTCTTGATGAATAAATTACGTCAACTGTAGTTTCTGTATAATGTCAACTCTTGATTAATAAACCCCCTTTGGTTAAAGGCATCCCGCGTGGGCCGTGGACCTGTCTTCCACAACAGCCCCACCTCTTGAGCACTGGAAACCCTTAACAAAAGCCCCTCCCAATTCGATTGATGGCAACCCGCGTCCCATGAAGCCTCCCAAAGTGAATTCTAGTCTTCAGGCTTGGCGGGGGTCTGTGATTTCTTTTGGACTTTGGTTTTCTTGTTAAAAGATATTTGGGGCTCGCCGATCTGGGCCGCCGGCCGACGAGGGGGAGGGGGAGTTCCCATTTATCATTAAGCATTGGTTATGTGGTCCAAGACCAGGATTGCAGGATTGCGAGCTCAGCAGGGAATCTCGCATGATGTTGGGGTGTGACGCATGAGCGGGAGCAGCGATTGAAGCAAGCGGGAAATCGCTTTTTGAAAGGTCAACGCGGCCGCGCTGGAAGGAAAACCGAATTCAAACATCACCTGTCTTGTCCCAACACTATGCAAAACAGTCATTCTCGAAGTACAAACAAATCCGATTGCAGCAGCGCATACTTCACCAAAAGTGGTTATCGATTGCTCGGCCCCGGCTGAGCAGACGACGCAGTCAGTTTTGAAAAGACTGCGAATGGAATCCTGGCTGTTCAGTCAGAGCAGCAGCAGCAGTAGCAGGAGTAGTGAAGTGGTGGTAGTAGTGGTGGTAATAGTAATAATGGTAGCAGTAGTGGTAGGAGTAGTATATAGTAGGACTAGGTCGCAGCAGCGGCAGAACTAGCTGAAGTAGCACAGGAGTTGCAGTGTCGTCGTCGTCGTCGTCATCGGTGTAGTGGCGGTGGCAGTAGTACTAGTAAGTAGTAAGGTTATGCACATGTGGTCGTAGTTGTAGCCCTCGCTGTTGCTGTTGCTGCTGCTGCCGCGTTGTGATTGCTCCTGGATGTTGCAGTTCAAGCCTGTTTGTCGTTCTAGTCCTGGTAGTACTGCTAGTACTGGAAGTGATAGTGGTAATGCGGAAGAAGCGGCAGCAACAGGAACAGTCGGGGCAGTAGTTGATGGGGCTGCTGGTCACGCTC